AACTGCTTATGCGTGTTTAGTTTGTTGTCCTTCCACTCGGCTACGATGAGCAACGGTTGGCTACGTACGGTGCCAAAGGCGTTCAACATTCACACACACATACACCATACACACAACAACAACAACACGCCATTCGCCACGACGCTTGTGCCAGGCCATGTGCACCTTGAGGCCACGTGAAGTGTCGAACGCCCGCTGGCAGGAGGTCACGGGGCAGACCCAGGTGCCACGGGTCGACTGACTGAGATGACCGAGATGACTGGCTGATGCACCACCTGTGCCGCCTACTGTGCCAACTTGCTGTATTTTAGCCACCCGGCGCTCCGCACGTTGTTGTGAGCGTCGCTCCTCCTCCGCCCTCCGTTGTTGTTGGAGGGCAACTGCCTCCAACTGCCCAGTAGCGTCCTTCACGAGCCTCCTCCACAGAGGCCGATCTTGACACCGCTGGTACACATACACACATACACTACACACATACATACACTGGAGCTTTGCACTTTAAAATCTAGATCTAAAACTCATTTATCCCAGTGGGCCTTACCTTGAAACTCGTATAGCTCAGTGGGCCTTACCTGGCGAAATGGAAAAAACAGTACAGTTTAGTTTGTCGCACCAAATGGTGCAATTGCGCGCACAGGAGCTCTCCTACACACGCGGTGCTGAAGCAGTAACGCACTCGCAACACTGTTGGTTTGTTCGTGTGTCGGGTGGAGGAGGGTATATGACACGAACAAGCACGCGGAGATCTGACCCAACATCAACTGGGAATGGTCACGCCGGTCGCGAAAGTCCGCCCGTGTTAAACTGACACCACCCCACCCACACCTCACCATCCAACTCACCCAACCTACTCCTCTCCATCCAACTCACCCCACCCACACCTCACCATCCAACTCACTCCACCCACACCTCACCATCCCACTCACCCCACCCACACCTCACCATCCAACTCACCCCACCCACACCTCACCATCAACTCACCCCACCCAAACCTCGCCATCCAACTCACCCCACCCCACCTCACCATCCAACTCACCCCACCCACACCTCACCATCCAACTCTCCCCACCCACACCTCACCATCCACTCTCCCCACCCACACCTCACCATCCAACTCACCCCACCCACACCTCACCACCCAACTCTCCCCACCCACCCTCACCACCCAACTCTCCCCACCCACACCTCACCATCCAACTCTCCCCACCCACACCTCACCATCCACTCTCCCCACCCACACCTCACCACCCAACTCTCCCCACCCACACCTCACCATCCAACTCACCCCACCCACACCTCACCACCCAACTCTCCCACCCACACCTCACCATCCAACTCACCCCCCCACACCTCACCATCCAACTCACCCCACCCAAACCTCACCATCCAACTCACCCCACCCACACCTCACCATCCAACTCGCCCCACCCACCCCTCGCCATCCAACTCGCCCCACCCACACCCCCCATCCAACTCCCCCACCCACACCTCACCACCCAACTCACCCCACCCACACCTCACCATCCAACTCGCCCCACCCACACCTCACCATCCAACTCACCCCACCCACACCTCACCACCCAACTCACCCCACCCACCCCCACCATCCAACTCGCCCCACCCACACCTCACCATCCAACTCACCCCACCCACACCTCACCATACAACTCACCCCACCCACACCTCACCATCCAACTCACTCCACCCACACCTCACCATCCAACTCACCCCACCCACAGCTCACCACCCAACTCACTCCACCCACTCCTCACCATCAAACTCACCCCACCCATAGCTCACCACCCACTCACTCCACCCACACCTCACAATCCAACTCACTCCACCCACACCTCACCATCCAACTCACTCCACCCACACCTCACCATCCAACTCACCCCACCCCAACTCACCATCAAACTCACTCCACCCACACCTCACCATCCAACTCACCCCACCCACAACTCACCATCAAACTCACCACACCCACACCTCACCATCCAACTCACTCCACCCCACACCTCACCATCCAACTCACTCCACCCACACCTCACCATCCAACTCACCCCACCCCAACTCACCATCAAACTCACCACCCACACCTCACCATCCAACTCCACTCCACCCACACCTCACCATCCAACTCACTCCACCCACACCTCACCATCCAACTCACTCCAACCCACACCTCACCATCAACTCACCCCACCCGCACCTCACCATTCAACTCACACCCACCCACACCTCACCATTCCTACTCACCCCACCCACACCTCACCATCCAACTCACCCCACCCACACCTCACCCATCCCACTTACTCCACCCACACCTCACCATCCAACTCACCCCACCCACACCTCACCATCCCACTTACTCCACCCACACCTCACCATCCAACTCACGCCACCCGCACCTCACCATCCACTCACCCCACCCACACCATCCAACTCGCCCCACCCACTCCTCACCACCCACACCTCACCATCAAACTCACCACACGCACACCTCACCATCAAACTCACCCCACCACACCACACCATCCAACCGCCCCACCCACACCTCACCATCCAACTCACCCCACCCACACCTCACCATCCAACTCACCCCACCCACACCTCACATCCCACTCACACCCACGCACACCTCACCATCAACTCACACCACCGCACACCTCACAACATCCAACACTCGCCCCACCGACACCCTCACCATCCAACTCACGTCCACCATACCTCACCATCAACTCACCTCCACCCACACCTCACCATCCCACTCACACCTCCCACAACTCACCATCCCACTCACCCCACGCACACCTCACCATCAAACTCACCCAACGCACACCTCACCACCCAATTCCACCCCACCCACACCTCACCATCCCACTCACCCCTCCCACAACTCACCATCCCACTCACCCCTACCCCCACACCTCAACCATCCACTCACCCCACCCACACCTCACCATCCAACTCGCTCCACCCACAACCTCACCATCAAACTCACTCCACCCACACCTCCACCATCCAACTCGCCCCACCCACACCTCACCATCCAACTCACCCACCCACACACCTCACCATCCAACTCTCCCCACCCACACCTCACCCCCCAACTCACCCACGCACACCTCACCATCCACTCTCCCCACCCACACCATCACCATCCCACTCACCACACCCACACCTCACCATCCCACTCACCTCACCCCCACCTCAACCATCCACTCTCCCACCCACACCTCACCACCGAAACTCACCCCACGCACACCTCACCATCCAACTCTCCCCCCCACACCTCACCACCCAACTCACCCCACGCACACCTCACCAGCCAACTCACATCCACCCACACCTCACCACCCAACTACACCCCACTCACACGGCTCACCATCCAACTCACTCGGTCGCACCCACACCTCACCATACAACGGCACCCATCACCCACACCTCACCAGCCAACCGCACCCCACCCACACCTCACATCCAACTCACCCCACCCACACCTCACCATCCAACTCAGCACCCCACCCACACCCTCACCATCCAACTCGCCCCACCCACACCCACCATCCAACTCGCCCTCCACCACACCTCACATCCAACTGCACTCCACCACACTCCTCACCATCCAAACTCACATCCAACCCCACACGCCTCAACCATCCAACTCACCCCACCCACACCTCACCATCAAACTCACCCCACCCACACCTCACCATCCAACTCACCCACCCACACCTCACCATCCAACTCGCCCCACCCACACCTCACCATCCAACTCGCTCCACCCACACCTCACCATCCAACTCACTCCACCCACTCCTCACCATCCAACTCACCCCACCACACCTCACCATCCAACTCCCTCCACCCCACACCTCACCATCCACTCACCCCACCCACACCTCACCATCCAACTCACCCACCCACACCTGCACCATCAACTCACCCCCACCCACAACCTCACCATCCAACTCACTCCACCCACACCTCACCATCCAACTCACCCCACCCACACCTCACCATCCACTCACCCCACCCACACCTCACCATCCAACTCACCCCACCCACACTTCACCATCCCACTCACCCCACCCACCCTCACCATCCAACTCACCCCACCCACACCTCACCATCAAACTCACTCCACCCACACCTCACCATCCAACTCACCCCACCCACACCTCACCATCCAACTCACCCCACCCACACCTCACCATCAAACTCACCCCACTCCACCTCTCACCGTCTATCGCGCAGACGACGGGAACTTGCTGGACGTGCTGAGGGCTCGTGGCTGGAAGTACGCGTTGCTGGCCCTGGTGGACGTGGAGGCGAACTACCTGGTCGTGAAGGCCTACCAGTACACCACACTCACAAGCGTGCAGGTATTACCTGGTAGTGAAGACGTACCTGCACACCACACTCACTAGCGTGCAGGTACTACCTGGTGGTTAAGACGTACTTGTACACCACACTCACCAGCGTGCAGGTACTACCTAGTCGTTAAGACGCACCTGTACACCACACTCACCAGCGTGTAGGTTTAGGGAGGTGTGGGAACGAGACGACTGAAGGGAGAACTTATATCTAAACTATTTTTATTTTACCAGGTAAGCCCCCACTGAGCTGTGTGGCTCCTTTGCAGAAGGGACCTGCCCACAAGTGATAGCCCAACGAAGTGGCTCATCGTCGTCGTGTGGAAATGTATAGCAGACAACTACTCTAAACACGTGTTTTAACATTTTAAAACTGGAGGACCCGGAGAAAAATCCACGCGACCACGGGGAGAGACACCGCAAACTCCAAAAATACAGCAGGCGTCAGAGTCGTGATTGAACCCACGACCTCCTGTATACCAGGCGAGGTAGTTAACATATCTTAGCCATCGTAATGATGATGAGAGAGACACGCACACAAACTCCAAATATACAGCAGGCGTCAGGGTCGTGATCGAACCCACGACCTCCTGTATACCAGGCGAGGTAGTTAACATCTCCTAGCCACCGTAATGATGATGAGAGAGAGACAAACTCCAAATATACAGCAGCAGGCGTCATGGTCGTGATCGAACCCACGACCTCCTGTATACCAGGCGATGTAGTAACATCTCCTAGCCACCGTAATGATGATGAGAGAGAGACAAACTCCAAATATACAGCAGCAGGCGTCAGGGTCGGGATCGAACCCACGACCTCCTGTACACCAGGCGAGGTAGTTAACATCTCATAGCCATGATGTTTACTGGACGTCTGTGAAAAAGCGCTCTAATGCTCATTGGCTTCCTCCAGTGGGTCACGATGATTGGGGGAACAAAAGAGGGGGGGGGGGTGTTGGAGTAGGGGTGGGTGGGTGGGTGGGTGGGGGAATTGGGAGACGAGAGGGGTTCGTGGTTGAGATCGGGGGGGGTGGGGGAAGTAGATGGAGGGGCCCTGAGGGGAGGGGTGGAGGCAGGGCTGGGGGTGGAGGGGTGCAGGGATGGGGAGGGATACGAGTTTGGGATAGGAGGGGGGGGGTGTTAGATTTGGGGAGGATGGGAGGGGGGCGGCATGCCCGGGAGAGGGGGTGGGTGGGGGCACGGAGCCATTTCGGATACCACAGCCATCAAGAGGTTGTCATCCAGACTTGTGACTCGGATATGCCTGGGGGGGTGGACGCTGACATCCGGAGTGTCCGAGCGTCGTGATTGACGCGCTGTCGTGATCCATGTCGTTACAAACAAAGTGTACGCACGCGGCTTTGCCGGGCTGAGCGCACGCGCAGAGGGAGCGGCGGAGGGTCACGGTGACGAGTTGCTCGGTTAAGGTTGAAGTGAACATCGTGGTGCTTAAACCTCTGTCCCCTCCACCCCCTCACCTCCATCCCCCCCTCCACCCCCTCTCGATCCCCCCCTCTCCCCCCATCCCCCTCCATTCCCCCTCTCCACCCCCCCACCCCCCCCTCTACCCCCCCCCCTCCACCCTCCTCTCCACCCCCTCTCCACCCCCCTCTCCACCCCCCCCTCCACCCCCCTCTCCACCCCCCCATCCGCCTCCACCCCCCTCCACCCCCCTCTCCACCCCCCCCCTCCATCCCCCCTCTCCACCCCCCCATCCCCCCTCCATTCCCCCCATCCCCCCTCCACCCCCCTCCCCCACCCCCCCCCCATGCTCCCTCCACCCCCCTCTCCATCTCCTCTCCACCCCCCTCTCCACCCCCCCATCCCGCCTCCATTCTCTCCCCCCACCCCCCTCCACCCCCTCTCCACCCCCTCTCCACCCCCCTCTCCACCCCCCCATCCCCCCTCCATTCCCCCCTCCATTCTCTCCCCCCCACCCCCCTCTCCACCCCCCTCCACCCCCTCTCCACCCCCTCTCCACCCCCCTCTCCACCCCCCCATCCCCCCTCCATTCCCCCCTCCATTCTCTCCTCCCCCACCCCCCTCTCCACCCCCTCCACCCCCTCTCCATCCCCCTCTCCATCCCCCCTCTCCAGCCCCCCCCATCCCCCCCTCCATTCCCCCTCTCCACCCCCCACCCCCCCCTCTACCCCCCCCTCCACCCTCCTCTCCACCCCCTCTCCACCCCCCTCTCCACCCGCCCCCCCCCCCCCCGCCCCCCAGCTGCTGGACTGCATGGTCCTCCCCGTGGTGTTCGCCCTCTCGTGGTTCTTCCTGCGCGTGCGCTACCGCGCGGGTCACGTGGTCGCCGTGGCGCTCTGCCTCGTGGGCGTGGGGGCCATGGTGGGGGCCGACCGCCTCACGGGGAGGTCGCAGGGCGAAGGTGACGACAGCTGACCGGCCAACATCGTCACCATCACCATCATCATCATGGTCACCATCGTTATCATCACCATGGTCACCATCGTTATCACCATCATTATCATCATCATCACCATCATCACCATGGTCACCGTCGTTTTCACCATCATTATCATCATCACCATCACCATGGTCACCATCGTTATCACCATCATTATCATCACCATCATCACCATCATCACCATGGTCACCATCGTTATCACCATCAGGATCACCAAGTTGATGAGACTGACATCCATGACATCCTCAGCAGCAACAGCACCACAGCCTAGTGAGGGTGTCCCAGACAACCGTCCGAAGAAAGAATTTAAACTGTCCCCCGCATGTCCCCCCGCGTGTCCCCTCGCGTGTCCCCTCGCGTGTCCCCTCGTGTGTCCTCATGTATCCCCACGTCCCCCCACGTCCCCCCATGCGCCCCCTGTGCAACTCTGCACGTGTCCCATGTATCTCCCACGTGTGCCCCACGTGACCCCCACGTGTCCCTGCATCTTCCCCATGTCACCCCCACGTGTCTTCCATGTGACCCCCACGTGTCCCTGCATCTTCCCCCATGTGACCCCCACGTGTGCCCCACGTGACCCCCACGTGTCCCTGCATCTTCTCCCACGTGTCCCCACGTGACCCCCACGTGTCCCTGCATCTTCTCCCACGTGTCCCCCACGTGTTCCCCACGTGACCCCCACGTGTCCCTGCATCTTCCCCCACGTGTCTCCCACGTGTTCCCCACGTGACCCCCACGTGTCCCTGCATCTTCCCCCACGTGTCTCCCACGTGTTCCCCACGTGACCCCCACGTGTCCCTGCATCTTCTCCCATGTGTCTCCCACGTGGCCCCCACGTGACCCCCACGTGTCCCTGCATCTTCTCCCATGTGTCTCCCACGTGCCCCCCACGTGACCCCCACGTGTACCCCACGTGACCCCCACGTGTCCCTCCATCTTCCCCCATGTATCTCCCATGTGTCTCCCACGTGCCCCCCACGTGACCACCGCCCCAGCCTCTAACCGCGCGCTGGGAGATATGCTCGTGGTGGCCGGGGCCGTCCTCTACGGAGTGTGCAACGTGTGCGAGGAGCAGCTGGTGCGCTCCCGGGGCCGCGTCGAGTTCCTGGGCGCAGTCGGCCTGTTCGGCACCCTCATCAGCGGCGTGCAACTGTGAGTCGTGTTGGAGAGGGGGGGGGGGTTGGGGGATGTTTTATTTAGTGGGGGGCGGGGGCTTTGAGTGGAGGTGCCGCCGTCTTGTTGATGGTTTGTGAGCCCGCTGGACTTCGATTCCATCTCCCGGCATGGAATTTGAAACAATGGGGGGGGGGGGGGGGGGGGCAAGCTTCTTAAACTCCACGCGGCAGCAGTGTGATCGGGTTCGCCTATGACCGGCAGGTCACGTGTGGTGGGGTGAAGTTTGGGTAAACTCTCCTACAGCCTCCAAGACCGTACTGGTCCCGGCGTGGAAGATGACAAATCATCTCCAAACGCGCCGTCAAAAGCTCTCCCCCCCCCTGAGTGGAAGTTCTTCCACCAGCAGCGCCGTGAGGAGGCAATTGCAGGAGCTGCGTCTTTACCTTTTGAGTGGGGCGGCGGTGGTGGCGGCGTTTGAGAGAGACGGAGAGAGTGGAGAGATTCTGAGCGGTGGCGAAGATTCTGAGCTGAACATCACAGCAGGGCAGAGGTCGCAAACGGGTTTTGATTCCTTACCCGTACCCGGCCGCACCAGGGTCGCAAATGGGTACCCGTACCCGGCCGGGTACGGGTAACCGTTCCCTACCCGTACCCTACCCGAAATGAGTGACAAACAGTTACTCACCAGTGACTCACGGCCTACCCATACCCGTACCCGGCCGCACCAGGGTCGCACAGAATTTTACGCACAGATAAAAAAAAGTGTATTAAATACAAGAGGGAATGGGTCACGATGGAATGGGTCACTACGGAATGTCTTGGTGACGACACAATGTGCAGTATTGTTAAAGAATAACTTGGGGGCACAGAAACTAAATAGACGTAGTTTAGTCCATCACTTATTTTGTTTAAGTCAGAATTTGTGTTGTCGTCTCCTGTATACCCGCTGCTTCTGTGTGTCTGTGTGTCCGTCTGTGTGTGTTTGAGTGTGTGTGTCTTTGTGTCTGTGTGTGTGTCTGTCTGTCTGTGTGTTTGTGTGTGTACACGTGGCTCTGTGCGTGATGCGGCTCTCTGTGAACTATTTTGGTCAAAGACTAAAACAACAACAACGTCTCTTATTGTTATTTTGGTGACCAACCGCTGCTCTAGACGTTTCAGTAAGTGAGAAAACCGGTTTTATTCGGTTACATGACGAGTTTATTTCACGCGGTTACCACTCATGAACAAACAAAGAAACGGGCTGTGAGTGAGCAAACTCGACTGTGAATTACACTGTGGCTCTCAAAATAAATAATATATTCATAATAGGCGACGTTTCGGACAAAGGCCCTACCTCATAGCTTATGGATAGAGGCCAGTCGAGAGACAGAGGACGATAACAGTTGGAGGACCCCTCCGCCTTGTTTACACCATGATGAGAATTAACATTTTAATCCGATTACCAATATTTAAATAGGCGCACGAGGAGTTACCCAACATTAGCCATTAAACGCCAAACTCCTTCAATGGTTACAAACGCATGCACTCCGTAACTATACATTCACGGATATTCAGTCAAAAAAACCGATAACACGTTGCACCTTGCTCCCGTGACTCACGGTCGTGTGTCACGAGACCCCCTTGAGCCCCCCTACTCACTTTCTACTCACGGCCGTGCGTCACGAGACCCCCTTGATCCCCCCCCCTACTCACCCCCGACTCACCCCCGTGCGTCACGAGACCTCCTTGAGCCCCCCTACTCACCCCCGACTCACCCCCTACTCACCCCCGTACGTCACGAGACCCCCTTGAGCCCCCCTACTCACTTCCTACTCACGGCCGTGCGTCACGAGACCCCCTTGAGCCCCCCTACTCACCCCCGACTCACGGTTGTACGTCACGAGACCCCCTTGAGCCCCCCTACTCACCCCCTACTCACGTCGTACGTCACGAGACCCCCTTGAGCCCCCCTACTCACCGCCTACTCACCCCCGTGCGTCACGAGACCCCCTTGAGCCCCCCTACTCACCCCCTAGTCACGGTCGTACGTCACGAGACCCCCTTGAGCCCCCCTACTCACCCCCGACTCACGCTCCAGACAGCCTCACCACGATATCGACGCAGACAGCAGCAGCAGCGGCAAAGGTAAAAGTGCAGCTCCGTGCTGTTGATGGCTCGTGCGGCCACTTTAACACGCAGTAGCAGCAGGATTTACCGACCAATACCACCCATCAGCTTGTTTCGGGGTTATGTCGCTTCAATATAAACCCGCCACCACCCGACACAGCCAATTAGTAAGGTTTGTCACGTAAACAGAACGTGGCCAATTCGTCACTAGTACAGCATCACCGGTGCGTTGGAGAGCCAAGCCACAACATTTACAATCTGAGTACGACGTTTCGCCAGTAACTACAACCAGCTTCATCAGGCGACAGCCAGATTTGTGGAGAAGTCCACCTGTTTCGCTCCTTATATAGAGGCGTAGAACAAAGCGTGCCAGCTGCTTACTAGTACAGCAACACCGGGTTACTCGTACAGCAACACCGGGTTGTGTGGTGGAGGGTAAACCCACAACGATTTACGATTTGCAGCCAGTCACGCCGTCTGAGAGAGCCGAAAGATTTGAAGCTTTCGCGACTGCAGGAATCCATACTCTGCTTCTTTAGGTAAAGTCACGACTCTAAACCCCCCCCCCCCCCCCCCCCCCTTCCTTCCCGAGCCTATATAAAGCCACAACAGCAGATCATTCTTTCTCACCTGATAACGGACGCTTGCGTTGCGACCGAAACGTCGTGTTCTATTACACTGGTCAACAAAAAAAATTCTGGCCTGGACTTTTGCAGCTGTTTTAGACTAACTTCAGGGTGCTGATTCCAAGTCTGATCTCAGATTTGCTCTATCACATCTCATTTTATGCTATCGGCATACCCCATTTTCATTGATTTTACCCGAAATTAACTCTGTCACTTATGAGTGCAAGTTGTTGCGAGTCAGTGATTGCTTTAGTGTTAAAATATGGTGCTGTATTTTTAGAATTGTGTGTTTATAATATCATTTCATGTAGATATCCACATTTATTTAATATTTTTCTTCTGCAGTTTTTATTGAAAATGCAATATTTGATATCTCAAAAACCTGATGTGATAGACAAAAACTGATGCCAGATTTGGAATCAGCTCCCCAAAATTACCTTAAACCCGTTGGAATACCTTATCCCAGAAAAAAGTGTGTTGACCAGTGTTATTTTTTTTTTCTATCTACGTGACTTTACCGAAAGAATCAGAGGGTATATAGAGCAAGTACGAGTTGAAGATTTGCCAGCCGGCCCCACCTGGATAGTCAAACGGCTTGTCCAGTAAGCCGCAACCATTAGCAGCGTCCGCAGGAGATGTCAACTACCTCGCCTGATTTGCGGGAGGTCGCCGGTTCGATCCCGACCCTGACGCCTGCTGCTGTATATTTGATGTTTGCGGTGTCTCTCTCTCTCTCATCATTATCACGGTGGCTATGAGATGTTAACTACCTCGACTGGTGTGCGGGAGGTCGTAGGTTCGATCCTGACCCTTGACGCCTGCTGCTGTATATTTGGAGTTTCCGTTACTCTCTGTCTCTCTCCCCCCGTGGTCGAGTGAATTTCTCTCCGGGTCCTCCGGTTTCCCCTCCACAACAATAATCAACGTCACGCGTTCAGAGTATTTGACCGCTCTAAATGTCCACGTGACGATACGCATCTTCGTCGGGCTGTCGATAATTTTTGACGGCCAGGTCGCTTCTGAAAAACAACTACGTAGCAGCTGAGCGGGGTCTTAGTCGGTGAAATTTTAAAAAATGTGTAATAGTCACGTAGAAGGGAAGTAGTAAAATAATAAAAATAAAACATAATAAAATAATTCTCACGACGTTTCGGCCACAACGCAAGCAGCCGTCCTCAGGTCACCTGAGAATTATTTTATTATGTTTCATTTTTATTATTGTATTACTTCCCTTCTACGTGACTTTACCGAAAGAACCAAGAAGATGAATCCCTGCAGTCACGAAATCTTTCAATCGAAATTTTTTTTTAAATAGTTTATATATTTTGTGTTGTATAGAGCGCACTAACTCGGTCCCGCGGTTTCACTCTGCGCGTCGCTTCTCCACAGCGACACTCAAATGGTTTTATTTTGTGCGGGGCGACGGTCGAGACCGCGGGCGGGTCCCGTGTCTGTCTGGGGGGGTGCCCTGGGGCTTGATGTGCGACACGCGATTTGGTGGGGGGGGGGGGGTCTCTGTCCGTGGTGAGCTGCTCATCACGAGAGAGCGAGCGACTGGTCAGAGACGACGCCGTCTTTATTTTGTGTGTTGTTTGCCTTTGTACCCCCCCCCCCCCCCCACATACCCTATACATCCCCACACTTCACACCCCACCACCCTACCCCCAAACACTCACTCACTCACGCTCTCATACACTCGCATACTCTCTCGCGCACACACGCACATACCCACTCACACTCACACATGCATGCACACACGCTGCCTAACACTCTCTCGCTCACACACGCACACGCCCACTCACACACACGTGCTCTCCAACACACACGCACACACACAACACACACGTATATACTCTTACACGCACACTTTCACACACACACGTGCTCTCACACACACACACGCACGTACACACACGCACGAACACACACACGTATATACTCTTACACGCACACTTTCACACACACACACGTTCACTCACACACACACGCACGTACACACACGCACGTACACACACACAACACACGCAGAGCCATCGCCGAGCGCAATGCTCTCGCCAGCATGGAGTGGACCTGGCGCGTGGGTCAGTATTCACGCACCCCTACCCCCCCCCGGTCCCGAGACCACTAACCCGGGACCGGTACAACTCCTGCCGCCGTGACGACGAGAATCGCGGCGATGAGAACAGCGATCGCGCCGAACCAAAATTCGCGTTAGGGGCCGTCCATAAATGAAGTCCACCTGTTTCGTTCCTTATATAGAGGCGTAGATGTGGTGGCCACAAATCTGGCTGTCGCCTGATGAAGCTAGTTGTAATTACTGGCGAAACGTCGTACGTCAGATTGTAAATGTTGTGGCTTGGCTCTCCAACGCACCGGTGATGCTGTACTAGTGACGAATTGGCCACGTTCTGTTTACGTGACAACCCTTACTAGTTGGCTGTGTCGGGTGGTGGTGGGTTTAACGACACATATATTTATATGCGATCTAACCCAAAAAACTCTTATGGATGATTTTGGCCGTGAAAGCCTACTACGTGTTAATGATGCTACTGCTGATACTGCTGCTGATGACGATGACTGCGTGTCTGTGGCTGCGCAGGCCTCCTGTACGCGGGCTTCGCCTGCTGCTGGTGATAATCATGCTGCTGATGATGCTGCTGATGATGACGTTGCTACTGCTGATGATGATGATACTGATGATGCTGCTGATGCTACTGCTGATGCTACTGACGATGATGACTGTGCGTGCCTGTGGCTGTGCAGGCCTCCTGTACGCGGGCTTCGCCTGCTGCTGATGATGATGCTGCTGCTGATGATGATGCTGCTGATGATGACGTTGCTACTGCTGCTGATGATACTGCTGATGATGATGACTATGCGTGCCTGTGGCTGCGCAGGCCTCCTGTACGCGGGCTTCGCCTGCTGCTGCTGATGATGCTGCTGATGATGATACTGATGATGCTGCTGCTGCTGCTGATGATGCTGCTGCTGATGACTGTGCGTGCCTGTGGCTGTGCAGGCCTCCTGTACGCGGGCTTCGCCTGCTGCTGCTAATAATCATGCTGCTGATGATGCTGCTGATGATGATACTGGTGATGCTGCTGATGATGCTGATGATGACGTTGCTACTGCTGATGATGATACCGGTGATGCTGATGATGATGCTGCTGCTGATGATGCTGCTGACGATGACTCTGCGTGTCTGTGGCTGCGCAGGCCTCCTGTACGTGGGCTTCGCCTGCTGCTGCTGATGATGCTGATGATGATGCTGCTGATGATGCTGCTGATGCTACTGCTGATGATGATGACTGTGCGTGTCTCTGGCTGCGCAGGCCTGCTGTACGCGGGCTTCGCCTGCTGCATGTTCTCGCTCTACAGCCTTATGCCCCTGGCCCTGCGCCTCACGAGTGCCGCCTCCGTCAACTTGGCCATCCTCACGGCCGACCTCTACAGCCTCTTCCTCGGCACCTTCCTCTTCAAGTACCCGGTACGCGCTCCGCCACGCAGCACGTTCGCGCGCAACAGGGTCGCACGCAACAGGGTCGCAAGCAACAGGGTCGCACGCAACAAGGTCGCACGCAACAAGGTCGCACGCAGCACGCTCGCACGCAGCAGGGTTGCACGCAACAGGGTTGCACGCAACAAGGTCGCACGCAGCACGCTCGCACGCAGCAGGGTTGCACGCAACAGGGTTGCACGCAACAAGGTCGCACGCAACAGGGTCGCACGCAACAGGGTTGCACGCAACAGGGTCGCACGCAGCACAGTCGCACGACGGCGCGTGTCTCGCACCCGAGCGATCGGTCGCACGAAACCGAGTCGCTCTCAACCCAAATCGCTTTGTCCACAGCGCTCGTTAATCGTCCAAGTAGCACCTTTTAATATAGCAGAGGATTGCAGGGCTCGGGAAATTGAGTCGTCCTCCATCTGCGTCCCCCTGTCTGTCCGAAAGCTGCGGAGCGGGGGGTACCGTTCAGGGGCGAGGTGCGGAGTTCAGAGTTGCTCCCTCGAGTGGGGGGGGGGGGGGGGTCCTTCCGCCAGCTCGCTGCACGAGCAAGCTATTGCACACACACGTGGCTGCACCTTTATCTTCGTCTTGCCACCTGATGGCCAGTGGGGGGGAGGGGGGGGGTCGGGCAACTTGCAGCTCCAGAGCCGCACGCGACTCCTTGAAGAATCTGCTTCGTGGCGTTATTTATCAAGCACCCACCGCGTCGTGTTCACGTTGCATTGCGGCTCTTGTAACGTTGAGTGTGTTAGTTGTTGTTGTTGTTTTGGTTTCCCACTGCCGCTCTCCCCGCCCCTGCGCCTGCGCCGCAGTTCTCAGCCCTCTACATCGCCGCCTTCCTCATCATCATCTCCGGGCTCATCGTCTACTCCGTCACGCCCACGGCGGAGGCCGCCGTGACCGCACGCCCGGCCGGCCCGGCCATGCCTGGCGAGGAAGCGGCGGCGGCGGCGGAGGACGGGGGGGGTGGTGGGAGAGGTGGCGAGGAGGCGGCAGCGGCAGCAGCCTCCGCCGGTGCCGGCAGCAGGACGGCAGTCCAGGCCGGAGCGAGCTGCGACTCCGTGCGGGTCATTGGCCTCGAGTTACCGACGATTCGCGGCTCCAAGGCGTAACGCGGCGCGGTGGTTTGCCGGTGGTGGTGGTGGTGATGCTGTTGGTTGGTTTTGCTGATGTTGTTGGTGCTGGTGGCGAGGTTTGGTGCTGCCAGTGATGGTGGTGGTGGTGGCGCCGATGTTGCTGGTGGTCGTGGTGCCGGTTTTGCAGCTGGTGGTGGTGTTGGTGCTGCTGTTGATGGTGATACTGATGGTGGTGGTGCTGTTGTTGATGGTGATACTGATGGTGGTGGTGCTGTTGTTGATGGTGATACTGATGGTGGTGGTGCTGCTGTTGGTGGTGATACTGATGGTGGTGGTGCTGCTGTTGATGGTGATACTGATGGTGGTGGTGCTGCTGGTCAGTTGTGGTAACGGTGGTGCTGCTGTCGCTTTCGCTGGTGTTGATGGTGGTGGTGGTAGCGGTGGTGGCGCTGTTGGTGGTGGTGCTGGTGGTGGTGATGGCGCCGATGGTGGCAAGGACTCTGCGAGCTGGGCACTGAGACGGTGGCACGGTGGTACCGTTGAGCCGTAGCGCGTTTGCCGAGCGTTGCAGAGGTTTGTGGTTCGAGCCCCACGGCCGCCCTGGTTAATACCGCGGGCCAATTAACCATAAATAGTACGCGCCGTCCGCTTCACAGTTCACGTGAGAGACCCCGTGGTATAATTATGAATATTTGCCCATTGTGTGCTGGTGTCACGGTGCATATTTGGCAAATTCAACTAAACTTGAAAAATTAAACCGCAAATTACCAAATTTGGAATAACCACACAGCACCATCGCCCCCCCCTACCCCCACCCGCCGCCACCCTATCGCGAGACTCACGCAGACTGCGTCTGTGGAGCATAGCGCATTTTGTAGATAGCCCCGTGCTATAATGATTTGGCAATTACCAAATGCACTCATGATTTGGTGATGCGGCTGCTGCTCCTGCCGCCACGTTGGCAGCGGTGCGCGACCGACAACACCCGTGGCTCGGACCCCGGAAGATATCCACACGCGGCAAAACCCTCGCCCAACGCGGTGGGTCTGGGTCACGTTCCTTTGATCCGCAATCCGCAAAGCTCAGAGGCAAATGTGAGAGCTCGGGGTTTGGTTTGTGGTTCGTAATACGCCACCGACACCCGCCCCGCCGTCCTTCTGTTTCACGCCGCCCTGCATCAACGCAACACATTAAAGAGGAAGTATTTTCAGTGAAAAAGTTGTCTTTTATTTTCGAGCGTTCGTTCATAACTCGTGCGGCGAATGTGTAGAATGAAAGGAAAATTCTTCTTGGTTCTTTCGGTAAAGTCACGTAGAATAGAAATAATAAAATAATAAAAATGTAACAAAATTATGTTTTATTTTTATTATTTTATTAACATAATAATGTTTATTTTTATTATTTCCATTCTACGTGACTTTACCGAAAGAACCAAGAAGATGAATCCCTGCAGTCACGAAAGCTTTAAATCGAAAGGGAAAATGTCGCGCCATGTACGATGCCGTAGACTACGGTTAGACAAATCGCTGGCAGCTGACCCTCACTGCCTCCTCATTGGAGGCTGGGAACACCGATTGGACCTGGGACCCGCGACGGATCCGCTTGGGGAGACAAGACGGAGGATGGAGACGGAGACGAGACGGCACCGCGTGCATTCTTCCGTAGCAGCCTCATCGCGAGCAGCGCAGTTACGACACGTGCAGGAATCTCGCGGCCAACCGCGAGTGGTCGAGCTACAGGAGTGCGCGATGGGCGAACTCCGTACCCTTCGTACGTTTGGCGCAAAGCCCGCGATGGCTAAACCCGCGAGAGGGAAGGGACTGCTGTAATAGGCGACGTTTCGGGCAATGACCCTTCCTCGCAGTGCATCTTGAAGTTTTATGAGACATGGCCACTGCCGGAAACGTCGCCTATTCTATAAATGTTTCTATATACAGTAATCCCTCGCCACTTTGCGGTTCAAGTTTCGCGGCCTCAGTGCATCGCGGATTTTTCGAACTGATTTAAAGGCCTCATTATACCTGTGTAGTAACACCACCATCATCATCATCATTCATCATCACATTCATCGAACTGCACAGGTCTGTCATCGTCGTCATTGTCATCGTCGTCGTCGTCGTCATTACTGGAGTCAAGTCTCAAGATACTACTGTCATTGGTGAGTGTAGAACACCATAATACGTATCGTATGAGAGAGAGAAAGTGCATGTATAATATTAAGGTTTTATAATTTAATAGATTTAAGTAAAATATATATATAAAGTATAAATATACATATTTTAAACATTCTGGTACCCACACACACATATACGGAAATTCCTAGGGGGCCAATCCTACTTCGCGGATTTTCACCTATCACGAGGGGTTCCGGTCCCCATTAACCGCGATAAACGAGGGATCAGCTGTATATATGTTTCTATATATATATGTTTCGCTTTGAGTGGATTCTGTGTGGCGAGGCGATAACTCACAGGGGCAGGATAGAGGGGAGAGTCTCATTCACAAAGGGGGCCTGGGGTCACCAAAACAAAACAAAAAAACGTCAGAAGCCAAGCGAAATAAAAATCGAACGCCAACAATTTTAGTGGATAGAAAATCGGCGCAAAATCATCGGCGTCGCGAGAGAAGCAGGAAATATCGCGCAAGCGAAAATCGGTGTTGCGTAATAAATCCTCCGTGGCGTGAGACGGCTCGGGCGGATTGATGTTGAGACTGATCACGGCGCGGTCACGGGGGTGACGTTCCGCATACGAGGGGGTGACTGTTGCACGGTGTAAAAAAGGGCCGTCCATAAATGACGTCACGCACATGGGGGGGGGGGCAGACATTTGTGACGATGTGACGAGAGGGGGAGGGGGTTTGAGAAATGTGACGTCACATCAAAATGCGCAACTTTAAATAAATATAAACAAACACGTTCTACTTAGTTAAATATACTTTTTTTATAAATATTTTCTACAACATCAGAGTGCAGCGCCACATTAAATACGCACTACAATGACTATAGTTTAAAGCGATTTGAAGCATGTTTTATTTTCAAAATGGAAATGTGGTTTTTTGGGGGGGGGGGGGTGGGCAGAGCTTTGTGACGTCATTTGAGGGGGGTCTGACTTTTTGTGACGCCGTGTGACGAGGGGGGGGGGGGGTAAAAAATCGTCCAAAATCGCGTGCCGTCGTTTATGGACAGCCCCTTTCATCCGTAGATCCGTCTATGGAAAGCATGAAATAACATCCTGCAGTGTAAAGGTTATTGGGGTATATCGCGTAATATAATTGCTGTGTCGTTCACCCACCGCCACCCGACACAAACAATTAGTAAGGTTTGTCACGTAAACCAAACGTGCCCCGAGACTTACATAGATATTTAGATTCACGCCGAGACCTATAAACCCACGTGGAGACCCCTAGACTCACATCGAGGGCTCTACTCGAAGGAGGCACCATCACAGCCATAAGAAGATGATAACTCGATGTTATATTGCCGATCAGTGATCACGCCATTGTAAAACAACGCCAGGACCGCGATGAAACCAGCGTGGTGAAGTATGGTTAAACGTACTCCCACGACCCGCACAGCGTGAGGGGGGGGGGGGGGCGAGCCCCTCATCCAGCAGTGGATTGACAGCAGGGGCTGTACGCTTCCATAGTGAGCACAGAGCGGCAGCGTTAAGTGATGAACGCAAAAACCCAAAGCATCCGACTCAGAACATCAAACTCAGAGCATCACACCCAGAGCATCACACCCAGAGCATCACACCCAGAGCATCACACCCAGAGCATCACACTCAAGCATCACACTCAGAGCATCACACCCAGAGCATCACACCCAGAGCATCACACTCAGAGCATCACACTCAAAGCATCACACTCAGAGCATCACACCCAGAGCATCACACCCAGAGCATCTCACCCAGAGCATCGCACCCAGAGCATCGCACCCGGAGCATCACACCCGGAGCATCACACTCAGAGCATCACACCCAGAGCATCACACTCAGAGCATCACACCCTGAGCATCACACCCAGAGCATCTCACCCAGAGCATCACACCCAGAGCATCACACCCAGAGCATCAAACCCAGAGCATCACACCCAGAGCATCTCACTCAGAGCATCACACCCAGAGCATCACACCCAGAGCATCACACCCTGAGCATCACACCCAGAGCATCTCACCCAGAGCATCACACCCAGAGCATCACACCCAGAGCATCACACCCAGAGCATCGCACCCAGAGCATCACACCCAGAGCATCAAACCCAGAGCATCACACCCAGAGCATCACACCCAGAGCATCACACCCAGAGCATCAAACTCAGAGCATCACACCCAGAGCATCGCACCCAGAGCATCACACCCAGAGCATCACACCCAGAGCATCACACCCAGAGCATCACACCCAGAGCATCACACCCAGAGCATCAAACCAGAGCATCACACCCAGAGCATCACACCCAGAGCATCACACCCAGAGCATCACACCCAGAGCATCACACCCAGAGCATCACAACCAGAGCATCAAACTCAGAGCATCACACCCAGAGCATCACACCCAGAGCATCAAACCCAGAGCATCACACCCAGAGCATCACACCCAGAGCATCACACCCAGAGCATCAAACTCAGAGCATCACACCCAGAGCATCACACCCAGAGCATCACACCCAGAGCATCAAACCCAGAGCATCAAACCCAGAGCATCAAACTCAGAGCATCACACCCAGAGCATCACACCCAGAGCATCACACCCAGAGCATCACACCCAGAGCATCACACCCAGATCATCACACCCAGAGCATCACACCCAGAGCATCAAACCCAGAGCATCACACCCAGAGCATCACACCCAGAGCATCACACTCAGAGCATCACACCCAGAGCATCAACCCAGAGCATCAAACCCAGAGCATCACACCCAGAGCATCACACCCAGAGCATCACACCCAGAGCATCAAACCCAGAGCATCAAACCCAGAGCATCACACCCAGAGCATCAAACCCAGAGCATCACACCCAGAGCATCACACCCAAAGCATCAACCCCAGAACATCACACCCAGAGCATCAAACTCAGAGCATCACACCCAGAGCATCAAACCCAGAGCATCACACCCAGAGCATCACACCCAGAGCATCACACTCAGAGCATCAAACCCAGAGCATCACACCCAGAGCATCACACCCAGAGCATCACACCCAGAGCATCAAACCCAGAGCATCAAACCCAGAGCATCACACCCAGAGCATCACACCCAGAGCATCACACCCAGAGCATCGCACCCAGAGCATCGCACCCAGAGCATCAAACTCAGAGCATCACACCCAGAGCATCACACCCAGAGCATCACACCCAAAGCATCAACCCCAGAACATCACACCCAGAGCATCAAACTCAGAGCATCACACCCAGAGCATCACACCCAGAGCATCACACCCAGAGCATCGCACCCAGAGCATCGCACCCAGAGCATCACACCCAGAGCATCAAACCCAGAGCATCACACCCAGAGCATCACACCCAGAGCATCACACCCAGAGCATCAAACTCAGAGCATCAACCCAGAGCATCACACCCAGAGCATCACACTCAGAGCATCACACCCAGAGCATCACACCCAGAGCATCAAACCCAGAGCATCACACCCAGAGCATCACACCCAGAGCATCGCACCCAGAGCATCGCACCCAGAGCATCACACCCAGAGCATCAAACCCAGAGCATCACACCCAGAGCATCACACCCAGAGCATCACACCCAGAGCATCACACCCAGAGCATCACACCCTGAGCATCACACCCAGAGCATCTCACCCAGAGCATCACACCCAGAGCATCACCCAGAGCATCACACCCAGAGCATCACACCCAGAGCATCACACCAGAGCATCCACCCAGAGCATCACACCCAGAGCATCACAACCCAGAGCATCACACCCAGAGCATCACACCCAGAGCATCACACCCAGAGCATCACACCTCAGAGCATCACACCAGAGCATCACACCCGAGCATCACACCCAGAGCATCTCACCAGAGCATCACACCCAGAGCATCACACCCAGAGCATCACAACCCAGAGCATCACACCCAGAGCATCACACCCCAGGAACATCACCACCAGAGCATCACACTCAGAGCATCACACCCAGAGCATCACACCCAGAGCATCACACCCAGAGCATCACACCCAGAG